TTTTTTTTTACTTTTTTTATAAAAATTAAAAAAATCGATTTTTTAAATTTAAATCAGATTTTTTTTTATTTAAATCGGATTTTTTTTTTTTTTAATGTCGACACAGTTAGGGATTTTTTGTGGCTAAAAGTATGTTCTTTTAGTGCAAAATGCATTTCTTTATTTTAACTAATGATTAATTTAAGCAACTGCAATTTTAGAAAGCCTTAATCTGCTATATCAGTGAATTATGGCTACAGACAAAAAATGAAGAAAATGTCAGTCTAAAAGGAGGGGGGGGGGGGAGGGGAGGGTAATTATGCATAGATAAACTTGCATTTTATTTTTTATTACAGTGTGTGTGTGAGCACGCGCTTGTGTTTGTCTAAAAAGAAAAAGAAAATGCTAATTCCAATTATGAAAAAAAGTAAATTGAATACTGTATTATTTTACTACTTACAGTGACAGGGGGGGAAAGCAGACTTTTAAGCATGATTATATTAGTCTACTAAACCTTATATCTGTTTTATAAAACCAAGGAAAGGAATTCTGAATGTTTAAAGATGTAAAAACAGAAAACATTTTTTAAAAGTGATTTAAATCACTGAGTTTTATTTTTTAAATCAAGTTGATTTAAATTTTTTTTAAATCAACCCAACCCTGGTTTTCAATTATGAAAAAAAAAAGTAAATTGAGAACTGTATTATTTTACAGTGACAGGGGGGAAAGCAAACTTTTAAGCATGATTATATTAGTCTACTAAACCTTATATCCGTTTAAAATAAAACCAAGGAAAGGAATTCTGAAAGTTTAAATATGTAAAAACTTAATACATTTTTTTGAAAATTGATTTAAATCACTGATTTTTTTTTTTTTATCAAATTGATTAAAATTCTTTAAAAATCAACTGATTTAAATCAACCCAGCTCTGATTTCAATTATGGAAAAAAAAGTAAATTGAATACTGTATTATTTTACAGTCAAAGGGGGGAAATCAGACTTTTAAGCATGATTACATTAGTCTACTGAGCCTTATATCTGTTTTATGAAACCAAGGAAAGGAATTCTGAATGTTGAAATGTGTAAAAACCGAATAAAAATATTTTTTTTTAAAGTGATTTAAATCACTGATTTTTATTTAAAAAATCAAGTTGATTTAAATAAAAAAAACCAACTGATTTAAATCAACCCAACCCTGCACCTTTCCCAGGACACCCCCCCCCCCCCCCCTCAAGTTGCCGTCAACCAAAATTATGTACACATGTGTACGTTTAGATTTAACTTGTACAGGGTGCATTTGCACCTTTGATTTTTTTTTAAATTGTTTATTAATTTAAAGAATACAATAATGGTGGCGCTGCCTCTGCTTGCACTGGAACCGGATCGACTGGTACACGTATACAGCACTCAAGGGGTCTGTTTGGCCAATTTTGGTGGATCGTGTCACCACAAATTTTGTGCTATTAGTACTTTCATACTCTTTCAGAGCCTCTGTGAACTCTGAAAAACTCTTGAACTTGGCTCCCACGTCCATGTTGAATAGATCTAGAAAACTAGAACTAGATCTAGGTGTTGAGTAATTTCAGATTTGCGATGCAATAGCCTTGGGGCCAACAGAACGCTACTGGCAAGGTTCCCTCAGGGCTCTGTTTTGAAAAATGAATATGCCACGCAGGTAAGCTTATTATATAGGCCAAGACTGCCTAGTTTCGCATTTGCCAATCTCGCGCAGCGATCTCGCACAGCGTTCGCAGCGCGAAACGATCTCGCGCAGAGCGCAGGTCGGGTCGACCCTGTGCGAATATAATTATTTCTTATTCGCACACCCTGTGCGAATAATATTAATTCTTATGCGCACACCCGGTGCGAATAATATTATTTCTTATGCGCACACCCGGTGCGAATAACCACTTCCTTCTGAATACTGTCTATCGGTGTGGACGATCAAATTGACCAAAACAAAGTTAAAAAATGATGTTAAAACACAAAAGTAAATTAATTTGGTTGTCTACAAAGATGCTACGGCTATTTAACTTTTCGAATCGAGCCGAACTACGCGGGTCGCCATTTTGTTTTGACCGGAAGTTCTCGCGCTACTCCTCTCTCTCTCTCTTTCTCTCTCTCCACTCCCCACAGACAAAATTGTACGCTTTTAGTAGGCTACAGTTGTAATGGAACGTTTGTTCACGGCACAGATTTCTACAATTTTTCAGCTATCACAGCGTAGAATTCTGTGGTTTAGGGTGAACGCAAAATTTGTTGGCCTAGGTCTAGGCTATCACGGTGAACGCGCAGCGGGTGAGAATAGCCAAAAGACTCGCCTGCACTATTCTCACCCCGGGTGAGAATAGAGGTGTCCTTTTCATATTCTGACTCGAGTCCGAATAAGAAATTTTTTTATTCGGACTCGAAAAAATGTTATTCGAATAACGACAGCCTTCTCAAGAAAGTTTAACCAAAGATAGTACATAACAAGATGGGCCACTTCTCTCTTTGAGCCAATTAAAAAAGTGTCCTCAAAATTAGGTGGCGCCCTCTTTGCGAACAGAGTTACCCTACTTGAGTTTTTAAAAATCAAAGTGAAACTAGCATGTTTTGGGATAAATTTCGGAAGAACGCTTTTTTTTAAAGAAAGTGGCTATTCTCACCCGCCCGGAAGTTCTCGCAAGATCAACTCCTCCCCTCTTCTCTCTCTCTCTGTCTCTTTCTGAATACTGTCTATCGGTGTGGACGATCAAATTGACCAAAACAAAGTTAAAAAATGATGTTAAAACACAAAAGTAAATTAATTTGGTTGTCTACAAAGATGCTACGGCTATTTAACTTTTCGAATCGAGCCGAACTACGCGGGTCGCCATTTTGTTTTGCCAGGAAATTCTCGCGCTACTCCTCTCTCTCTTTCTCTCTCTCTCTCCACTGCCCACAGACAAAATTATACGCTTTTAGTAGGCAACAGTTGTAATGGAACGTTTGTTCACGGCACAGAATTCTACAATTTTTCTGTTATCACAGTGTAGAATTCTGTGGTTTAGGGTGAACGCAAAATTTGGTGAACGTGCACCGGGTGAGAATAGCCACAAGACTCGCCTACCCTGCACTATTCTCACTCTGGGTGAGAATAGAGGTGGCCTTTTTTAAATGGTTACGCTGACAAAAAACCTCTTCCGGAGGAAAGGGTGATGGTTTTCTTCGTTTAATTTGACTTTAGAATGAAAGGCGAGAGGTCATTAAAATTTTAAAAAACTAAAACTCCGCACTGAACGTACCCGAACTGCTGATGAACAGCAGTCGATCTGCGCACGCAAGGAGGTGCTATTCCTATTCTTCTTCTGTAAAAACAAAAGAGAGCTTCAAAACAGACTGCAGCGCCATCTGAAGCAAAGAGCATACTTCCTGCGGACACTTTTTTGGCGGAGTGGCCCATCTTGTTATGTACTAGATTTTTTCTAGATCTATCTTTGGTTTTACCGACGGCCACCTCTATTCTCACCAAGAGTGAGAATAGTGCAGGCGAGTCTTGTGGCTATTCTCACCCGGTGCGCGTTCACCCTAAACCACAGAATTCTACACTGTGATAACAGAAAAATTGTAGAATTCTGTGCCGTGAACAAACGTTCCATTACAACTGTAGCCTACTAAAAGCGTACAATTTTGTCTGTGGGTAGTGGAGAGAGAGAGAGAAAGAGAGAGAGAAAGAGAGAGGAGTAGCGCGAGAATTTCCGGGCAAAACAAAATGGCGACCCGCGTAGTTCGGCTCGATTCGAATCGTAGCATCTTTGTAGACAACCAAATTAATTTACTTTTGTGTTTTAACATCATTTTTTAACGGAAATGGCTATTCTCATCTGGGGTGAGAATAGAAAAACGATCTACCTCTCACCCCGGATGAGACGTGCCAGCGTAGGCTATTCTCACCCGGTGCGAAACAAGACCTGCTTTTCCTCATTTTGGAATACTGTCTATCGGTGTGGATGATCAGACTGATCAGATTGATAAAAGCCAAGAAAAAATTACGTTATAGCACAAAAGTAAGCTAATTTGATCGTCTTCAAAGATGCTATGGCTATTTCACTGTTCGAATCGAGCCGAACTACGCGGGTCGCCATTTTGTTTTGCCCGGAAGTTCTTGCAAGATCTACTCCTCCCCTCTCTCTCTCTCTCTGTCTCTTTCTGAATACTGTCTATCGGTGTGGACGATCAAATTGACCAAAACAAAGTTAAAAAATGATGCTAAAACACAAAAGTAAATTAATTTGGTTGTCTACAAAGATGCTACGGCTATTTAACTTTTCGAATCGAGCCGAACTACGCGGGTCGCCATTTTGTTTTGAACGGAAGTTCTCGCGCTACTCCTCTCTCTGTCTCTTTCTCTCTCTCTCCACTGCCCACATACAAAATTGTACGCTTTTAGAGGCTACAGTTATAAGTTATAATGGAACGTTTGTTCACGGCACAGAATTCTACAATTTTTCTGTTATCACAGTGTAGAATTCTGTGGTTTAGGGTGAACGCAAAATTTGTTGGCCTAGATCTAGATCTAGATATCTAGGCTATAACGGTGAACGCGCACCGGGTGA